AAGGTAATGGCTTGTGTATGAGTCAGTGTAAAAGTGAGCAGTTTATAAATTGGCTGTACTTAGGTAGGGTCAGATAAACAGAATTTATGTTTTGTTGAGACTAATGGGGCTTTTGTGAAAGATTTAGAAATAAGTCATGTAGAACGCAGATGGAAAGTCATAATCACCCTGCAGTTGCTCAGGCAGCTGATACCCTAGATACCTGCATCATCCCCCTGCCAGAAAGAGCTGGCTAGAAGAGGTATGTTCAACAGATGTGATTACTTTGGTGATTTTTGTTGTTATTTTTTGGTTTTTCTGAAACTAAGGTCTCATTATGTAGTCCAGGCTGGCCTTGAACTCACAGAGACCTTCCTGCCTCAGCCTCCGCAGTGTGGGGATTTCAGGCAGCCAGGGCTTTTGCAGAATTTTAAGAGACAGAAGAGACCAAATGGGAGTCAGGAGGATTTATTTAAGGTGTATACATTGGCTCAGCAGGCTCTGTCCAAAATGGCTGAGCACTGAACAAAGAGAAGTTCCAGCTTTTATACATTTTGTCCAAGGGGGTGCTTTTTCTCATGAGGTAGCAAGTGGGTTACTGGAATAGGATAGGGGCAGACAGGTTTGTAACTTTGCCTTGAAAGAAGACAGTGTCTTCTGCTTCCTATGAGAACAGAGAGTCATGAACTTTGTGTATGGGACACAGCTGTTCCTGTTATCTGCACCAGAACAAGGAGTTGCCCAAGGCTGGGAAGGACTTGTTTTTCTGAGTCCTGCTTTAGCACCCCACCCAGCCCTTATTTTGTTCTTCATCTCTCCACCTCTCTGTGGCATCTGTGTGTCTGTGTTCGTGTTCTCGTGTTTTCTCTGATATTTTCATGCTTCGGCAGAGGAAATCGCACTGAGCAGCTCCCACCGCCCCTCCCACAACCCTTACCTTTCTGCCTTTCTACCCTGCAGTGTGTTCTCATCCTTCTCTCCTGGGTGCAGCGGTATCTGTCCATCCTTCAAGGATACAGAGACCATGGTTCCCTCCTGGAAAGGCAAAGCCGCTCACTCCAATCTCCTCTTTAAAACCCTCTGTCCGATTTCAGGTTCCTTCTACCACCAAAGCGTTACTAAGCCCTCTCTCCTCCAGGTTTTTTTTTTTTTTTTTTTTGTATCAGGGATTGACCTCAGGACCTTGCACTTGAGAGGCTGGCAGTGGAACCACTGAGCTAAATCCTTGCCCCCCTCCTCCAGTTTTAAAAAATGCTATTTTTGTGGATACTGAGGGATGGAACCCAAGGGAGCCACATCTCTAGCCCTTCAAAAATGTTTTTACTGTGAGACAGGGTTGTGCTAAATCATTAAGCTGAGTCCTGCCTCAGCCTCCCAGAGTGCTGGGACAACAGGGCTGACTCCCTCCTGCTGTTAGCTCAGTCTCCTCACTCTTCAGACCTCTTCTCCAGTGTCCTCCTTGGGGAAACTCCCCACTCCCCTGCATCCCAGACTCTTCCTGTGCGACCCCCACCCCAAGGGACTCTGTTGTTATCACCTTCAACCCAAGCCCAGGCCTCATCTCTGCCAGGGCAGCAGGAGCGCTGAGCAGGTGCACAGCACAAACTGCTGAGTGCATGGGAAGCTGCCCTGGAAGCCTTGTTTACTACTGAATTCTACTTCATGCAGCTGAGGGATGCGGTGTAGCTGAGCCAGGCCCCAGGCCCCATGCCAGCCCAGGGCTACAAAAAACAAAGCACGGTGCGGCAGTAGCATGAGCTGTATCCATGCGTCGTGGGAGTCAGCTTTGCGTTTCACTGTGTGACACAGTGTCTCCAGTCTCTGGACAGCCAGCCAGGTGCAGAAGCGGGAAGGACCAAAGTGCTACTTCGCCTCTCAGCGATTCTTCTGGCCCTGGCCCAGAGACAGGGACCCGGACAGTGAGAAGACAGAACTCGATTCAAAGGGAGACGAGCCAGGCCTGGTAGCACATGCCTGTGTCCCAGATACTCTGGAGGCTGAGGCAGGAGAGTCAGAAGTTCAAGTCCAGTCAGGATGATTTAGCAAGATCCTGTCTCAAGACAAGAGCTGGTGCTGGGCCTGGTGGCAGGCACCTGTAATCCCAGTACTTGGGAGGCTGAGGCAGGAGGATCGCCAGGAATTTGAGGCCAGGCTGGGCTACACAGTTAGTTCAAGGCTAGCCTGGACATAGAGACACTGTCTCACAAAACCTAAAAAAGTAAATAAAATGAAATAGCAGATCTCATTCAAGTTCTGAGTAGAAAAGCAGTTAGCAGAGGCCAGGGAGGAGCGATGTGGAAAGGTGCTGGATGGGTACTAAGTTGCAGTTGGAAAGGAGCAGGATGTTCTGCCTGCTGCAGCTTAGAGAGATGAATATGGTTGGTAACATCTTAGTGTAATGAGAAATGCTGACTTAAAAGGTTCTCCCTCTAAAAACATGTTGAAAGTCTAAGGTGATGATTTGCTGACTAAGTTGATACGATCATTACTCACTATACTGATGATGCTGGGTGTGGTACATGTACCTGTAACCCCAGCATTTTGGGAGGATGAGGCAGGAGGGCCCCAAATTCAAGCCCAGTGTAGGCAATTTCGGGTCTTAGTGAAGCCCTGTCTCTGATGTCTATAATTTCCTCCCTTTGGTTTTGACTTGTTGATCAACATTAGGTTGTTTATTTGAACTCACCCTGTTTTTCTGTTATGGGAATTCAGTACTATAAATTTTTCATAGTATTGCTTTCTTTGAGTCCTGTAAGTTCTGGTATGTGGTACTGGCATTATCGTTTCATTGTAGAAACTGTCTGCTTTCTTCTTTAATTATATCTCAGACCCATTGGTTGTTCAGAAGGGTATTATTTAATTCCCATGTTTTGTTTTGTTTTGGTACTAGGGATTGAACTCCGGACCTTGCATTTGTGAGGCAGGCGGCAAAAGCACTGAGCTCAATCCCTGGCCCTAATTTCCATGTGTTTATGAAGTTTTTGTGATTTCTTTCGCCACTGATTTCCAATTTCATTGCACTATAGCCTGATAATAAGCATGGGATAATTTGTTTCTTTGCATTTACTTAACCATGTTTTCTACGAGTGAGTGTGTGGTCTGTTTTGGAGAATGATCCACGTGCTGTCTACAAGAGTACAAACAGGCCTGGGATGTAGCTTGTGAAAGCCCTGGGGCCTGGCAGCTGGGTGGGGAGAATTAAAGGGTCAAAAAGAAAAACAGGGTTTCCTGATGTCTGAGAACAGATACATTGTACAAGTGGATCTCAGCAGCTGCTAGGGGAACTCCCCTGCTGGATCCTGCTTTACCTCATGCCCCAGTCCTTGTGCTTCGACCCTTAGCTTAGTACTAGATTTCTGCTCTCTTTACTTTTATTTTTGCAATTTCCCCTCCACATACTGAAACCCAGAGGCACTCTATGTGAAACATTCATTTTAGATACATATAACATTCATCATACTGAATTTATACCTGTGCATGATATATCTTGCTTTTTTTTCTCACCCCACTCTTCCCTTCCTTATATACAAAAGTGTTGTTTCCATTTTTCCCCTTCTATTTTCTTTTTTTTTTTTTTGGTACCAGGGATCGAACTTGGGTCTTTTTACTTGGGATGCAGGTGGTGGAACCACTGAGCTAAATCCACAGCCCTTTTTTTGTCATTTTTTGAGACAGGGTCTTGCTGTCTATGCAGCTCAGGCTGGCATGGAACTCTTTGTGGTGACACTCTGTCTACCGAGTGCTGGGATTTTTTTTTTTTGGTACCGGGGATCGAACTCAGGTCCTTGTGCTTGCAAGGCAGGTGGAAGAACCACTGAACTAAAGCCCTGGCCCCAACCGAGTGCTGGGATTACAGGCATGTACCACTGTCCTCAGCTTTCAGCCCTCTTTATTTTTTATTTTGAGACAGGATTTTACTAACTTGCTAAATTGCTCAGGCTGAGCTCAAACTGACAATCCCTTGGCTCAGCCTCCTGAGTAGCTGGAATTACAGGTGTGTGCCACCATGCCAGACTACTTTTGCATATTTTTAATTTATGTAAAATGCGATAAATGGATGATAGCTTATACTTTCTTTTCACAAAGTATGTGTGTGACTCCACTTGCCTTTAGCTGTAGGAATCTGAGGGCTGAGTATTGCTTTTTTTACTTCTTTGTTGTTTTCTGAGACAGTCAGTCTTGCTATGTAGTCCAGGCTGGACTTGAACTCATTCCTGCCTCAGCCTCCTGAGTACTTGAGACTGATTACAAGTGTGTGCTGCCATACCCAGCCACAACTTCTGTATTACTGGGGACTGAATCCAGGACTTTCTGAGCTACGTCTCCAGCCGTTTTTGTAATTTTTAGTTTTGAGATAAGCTCTTGCTAAGTCACTACATTGCCCAGACTGGACTAAACCTTTGTAACCCCCTGTCTCAGCCTCCCAGAGTACTGGGATTACAGACAGGTGCCACCACACCCAGCCACATTTTTTTTTTTTTTTTTGTAGTATGGGGGATTGAATTCAGGATCTTGTGCATGCGAGGTAGTTGGCAGCATCACTGAGCTACATCCCCGGCTCCCATAAATAACTTTTGGCTTGGCATCCTAACCTGTGATCCTCCCTTTGGCCTTGCCCATCTGCCTCCCTTCAGAGCCATTTTCTTCATGAGTTTTTCTTTTTTTTTCTTCATGAGTTTTTGAGGAGTCTGTTCTTCTTTTTTTTTTGTGGGCCATTTATTTAATGAGGTTTCTTCTCCACTCCCCCAGTATCCCATACCCACCCCACACAACTCATTAAACAATAAATTATGTATTCATCCCATTAGAGAATTAGATAAACCTCAGATTACAAATTCAAGGCCAAAATATTTTGCAGTATTAGAATGTATTCAAGAAAGCAGGCACAATTTAACTGGATTAGATTTCCACATGGGATGACTGTGTTCCAAATGACCCTCACTGAGGAACATGACAATTCCTTTTATATGTGGAAAGGCAGTAAATGCATTCTTCTTAGTCACCCAGGAAGAAATTTTCTGTTTTCACGGCTAACACTATTTCCTTTTTGCTGCTCTTTTTCCTTCTCCTTTCCGTGGTTTCCCCTTTCCACGAAGCTTCTTTAGAGGCCTTTGTTCATCCTTAAAATCCTGATGCTCATCTCTGTAGAGGCCAAGAAAACAGAGTGTGCCCATGAGTGTGAAATACGTGTTATGGTTTGGATACCAGTCATAGGTCTCCTTCCTCTTAGCCATGGGCTGCTCACTGAAAAGTTTCACCATTTTCATGGATTTGGAGTCAGTCGGCCTGGCAACCTCACTCAAGATTTGGGCACTCAGACGGCTCATGCGCAAGGCGTATTGTGAAAGTGAAGACATTTGCGGAGCAGCAAAGAGCAAGACTCCATAGGCCTTTTCAGGACTCTGGTAAAATATCCTTATGCAATCTTTCAATTTTATCTGGTCCTACACTTCCTCACCCGGAAGTGAGCAGTCTGTTCTTGAGATACTTACCTTCCGTCTTGATCAGCTGAGGGTGGGAAGGACAGCTCTGGAGATCGTGGATTTCTGTGGACTGAGCTTCCTGCTCCTTAGTACCCGCTGACACCGGCTCCTCCAATGGGCGAGGCCCACGGCAGCCTCTGCACTTCCTTGCCTCGCGCTCAGGTAGGGATCTACGGCCGCCACCAGAGAGATAAACGGGAGAAGCGGAAGGAAGAAGGAAGCGGGAGAAGCGGAAGCGGTGTGGAGGAAGCTGCGCTGACACTGACAGCGCCTTCCCAGTCCCGCCCCGGGGCCCGCACATACACGTGAGCTCTGAACTCGCAATCCGTGCTCACGACTCCGGACGGCCACGACCTCCTCAAATGGCTGTCTCTCTAAGCCCAAGTGTCGCCCACAAAGCCCTTATCTCCTGGCCGTCAGTTGTCACCACTCACACACCCGCCTTAACCCCACTTTGTTCTTGTTTTTCTTCGCCATGTAGTCCGCTTCTCACTCTATTCCCCAGGTGGAACTGCATTTGAGATCTGCCTCAGCCTTCCGAGAGCTGTAGTTATAGCGGTGGACAACTGTGCTTAGTTTTTAACAGGTCTTTTTATTTTTAAGTAATATAATTGTCCAGGGCTAGTAATTTTTGTGTATGTGTGTGGTGCCTGGGATTGAACTCAGGGACTAGGTAAGCACTCTACCACTGGGCTGCACCTCCAGCCTCCCCCTTAGGTCTCATTATGTTCCCCAGGTGCTTAGACTCCTAGGCTCATGTGATTCTCCTGCCTCAGCCTCCTGAATACCTGGGCCTACACTGCACTTGGTTTGGTTAAAAAAATAAGGCTCTTCCCAGGGGCGGTCTGTGATCCCTACTGGGGAGACTGAGGCCGAAGCCAGCAGGGTTACATAGTGAGGACGAGGCCAGCTTGATAGTCTCAAAAAAAGTAAAATCAAATTTTGAAAACTTTAAGAAAGGAGGAAGGAGAATCCCACTAGGGGGATACACCCCTCTAGGCCACACCCCCAGTGACCTACCTCTTCCAAGGCTTCACCTACCAAGCACACCAGCCATGACTTTGCAATGGATGACTCTGTGGAGAGCACAGTGACCCCATGACTCAGCCAGCTTCCAAACATGTAAGTTTGGGGGCCATCTGTGATCTAAATCAAAACCATTTCCTCTGAATTCAGGAAAGGGATAAGGATGTCCTCCTATCCAATAATCAAGTAGTTCTTGAAATTGTAGCCAGTGCAATTAGACAAGAGGAGGAAATAAAAGGGAAATAATAAAAAGTGAAACTATCCATAGCCAGGTGTGGTGGTGCACGCCTGTAATCCCAGCACTTGGGAGGCTGAGGCAGGATTGCTGTGAGTTCGAGACCAGCCTGGGCTACATAGTGAGTTCCAGGTCAATCTCAACTACATAGTGAGACCCTGTCTTAA